GAGGGATGAAAGCTGAGGAGGCACTGTGTTTGATTTTGGAGAAAACTGTCTTAGAAATGGAGGTGATGGCTGCATCAGTTTGTGAATGTTCTTGATTCCACTGAAATGTCAAACTGGTGGATTTTAAATGGTGAACTTAATTGGTGAAACTTGTTAAGTGAATTTTACCACAATAAAACAATTAATACCTACATATCAAGCAAGATTAGTTTATATTACTCCAAATTAGCTTTTGGGAGCTGTTTCTATTTTGTTACCTAACATTCTTAGGAAAAAGGTTTTTTTTTTTTTTAGTTGTAGATGGACACAATACCTTTGCTTTATTCACTTATTTGTATGTGGTGCTGAGGATCAAACTCTGTGCCTTTAGGCAAATGCTCTACCATTGAGCTACAACCCAGCCCCTCTAAAATTCCTTATTGTCATTTTTTTGAGAGAGAGAGAGAGAGAGAGAATTTTAATATTTATTTATTTTTTTAGTTTTCGGTGGTCACAACATCTTTGTTTGTATGTGGTGCTGAGGATCATACCCGGGCCACACGCATGCCACTTGAGCGTGATACTGCTTGAGCCACATCCCCAGCCACCCTTATTGTCATTTTACTACTGATAATGTATACTATAGTGTAAATGTGTACTATTTGTGGTTTTCTGCCTTTTTCACTGTTGTGATTATTTATGTGAGTCACGCTGAGGTACAGTGTGGCCACTCAGCTCTAGTGGGATCAGAAGAGGTTGAGGCTAGGAACAGGGGATGGTGTAGACCCAGGGACTTACCTGTGCCTGCAGAAAAATTGAAGGTTGCTGTCCCATCAGGCAGATCACTGCTCAGGTGTCTCAGGGCACACTCCAGTTCTGTAAGCAGGTGAGTTGCCACACAGTGCTTCTGTGAGGAGGTCAGGGTCTCCACATCCCCAGGGGTCTCCAGCAGCTCATCCACCTCCTGCATGATCCCCTAGAGGGATGGGGGTACATAGCAGGTGGACTTGGGCCAGAAGGACCACACACAGCCCCAGAGAATAGACCCCCATATACTGTCCAGTTAGGGATAGAGAGAACATGGTTTGGGACTCCCTGGTGCTCTTTGCTCCTTAGAGATCAGCTCTGAGGTTGGCAAAACCCAGGATGAGAGCAAGAGGACAGACAGTGCACATGGGCGTCCAACAGTGTGTGTGGCCCCCAGTGTCCTCTTCCACCTGCCCTGGGAGAGTGGCCAGCTCAGAGCAGGACTCCACTGTGCTTGGGCCTGTTCCCCTTCCCCCCAAACCAAAGCTGCCCCCTCCCTCTATGGGAGGTCTCCACTTGCTTCCCCTGGATCCTGCCCTTACCTGGATGGTGTCCTTGGCCGCTTCTGGCTTGACATCCTTGTGCAGATCGTTGACTTTGTCAATGAAGTGGGAGATTCTCTGAGGAGGTGAGATGAGGGGTCATGGGTGGGTGGGAAGCTCAGGGCCAAGGGGTGGACCGGGTGCTGCCCCAGGGATTCCCACCTCCCTCTCCTGGCTGGGGCGCTCACCTGGCTGTGGATTCCAGGGGGCAGAGACCAGGTGTAGCGGCGCCCAGGCCTGTGGTGGTGGTGCGGAGACTGGGTGTCGCCGGGCATGACTGCCAGGACAGGACAGTGGTTCATTAGGAAGAGTGCACGTGTGCGTGCGTAGGTGTGCAGGAGCATGTGCATGGGCGGACCAAAGTCAGGATGGAGAGAGCAGCGCAGAGAAATGAATGAGGCCAAGCAGTGGAGAAGGGCGTGGCTGGTGAGGGCGTGGCTAAGGGCGTGGCTGGTGAGGGCGTGGCTAAGGGCATGGCTGATGAGGGCTTGGTCAAGACAAGCGTGGGGCACAGAGGGTGTCCTCTCCAGGCCAGAGTGTTGGCTGCTGACCGGACCTACCCCCGAGTCTCTTACCTACTGAATTTTCAGACTGGATCCCTGGGTCCATCGTGGCTGTGGGGCCCCAGAGTATTACAGGTGTGGATGAGTTCCTGTGGGCCCCGGAAGGGAAACGTCTCATCCAGCCAGTCTCTAGCAGGGGGAAGAGGACAGAATGGCACTGGAACAAGCTTGCCACGGGCTCCTGGGATATCTTGACCCCTCCCCCTTGCCATTCATGCAAAACAGGTGCCAGTTAGGCAGTGGGGTGTTCTGAAGGTCCAGAAGTGGCCCTCTG